CCGCGCCGCCAGCACCACCACCGCCCGCCGCCCGGGGGCCCCCAGGTGAGCAACCTTCCCCACTCCAGAACTCGTGTAATCGGGGGTCGTGGGTGGCCCAGTCGCTCCTCACTGGTGTTGGTGGGCAGGAAGGCGGGTTGTGGGGGCCCAATGCCACCTGGTCGTGCGGCCGCAGTAGCTTCCTGGCTTCCTCCTGGCCACCCCCCACCCCAGGCTATGCCTGTGCGGGTTTGGTTCAGGGTGCGTCTGGGCGTAGGTCTCTGCCTCAGGGTGGCCCGCTGCATCGGTGGATGTGCGAGAGAGGATGTCTGTCTTGCCCTCCCTCTCCCAGGGTCACTGAAAGATGCTGGGCAGCAGGGCTGCGGGGACAATCCTGCGTCTGCTGCAGTCCGGCGGGTGCATGTGTGGGAAGATGTGTATGTAGGCTGGGTGTCGGCGGGGGCAGTGGGCACTGGCGGAAGCGGGGGAGAAGCTGGTTTGAGGCCCCCCAGAGGGTCTGACGCAGCAGCCGGCACCACTGAGCCGGCAGCAGGCCAGGCGAGGTGGGGGTGGGGGTGTTCTGCAGGGAACTGTTTGAAGCAGAGGGGGTGGCAAGTGAGAAATTGTGACCTGAGGCGGGGGGTAGTAGCCTGCTAGTGACCGGCTGGCTTGGCGTGTAGGATATTCCGTGGGACAAGAACAGGTGTGCGCTGGGTGTGTGCGCCCTGGGCCAGGAGTGGGTGAGGGAGTTCATGATATCCAGCATCTCTGTCCAGCAAGTGGGAGGGCTTGTATTGGCAGTCCCCTAGGGTCACCCCAGTTCTGGGGTTCTGGAGTTACCCAGACCAAGCTGCTGGGCAGGGGAAGTGGGGAGAACCACAGTTGCACTCAGCCCTGACTCCTGACCCCATGGTGTCCCCCAGGTGCCCCCAGCCCTGCCGCAGGAAGGGAATGGGCTCAGTGCCCGCGTGGATGAGGGCGTGGAGGAATTCTTCTCCAAAAGGTTGATCCAGCAGGATCGCCTGTGAGTGAGGGGCAGTTGCAGGGGGAGGGAGAGGGTGGGATGTCCCATGAGCTTTCTCATTCACTGCTGGTTGTCCCCACAGCTGGGCCCCCGAGGAGGACCCGGCCACCGAAGGGGGTGCCACTCCTGTGCCCCGTACATTGAGAAAGAAGCTGGGTACCCTCTTTGCCTTCAAGAAGCCTCGTTCAACACGGGGTCCACGACCTGATCTAGAGACCAGCCCTGGGGCAGCTCCCCGCACCCGAAAAACCACACTTGGGGATCTGCTGCGGCCACCAGCCCGTCCAGGTCGTGGTGAGGAGCCTGGTGGGGCTGAGGGGGGCACCAGCAGCCCTGACCCTGCCCGCAGGAGTCGGCCTCGCTACACACGGGACAGCAAGGCCTACTCCATGATACTGCTACCTGCCGAGGAGGAGGAAGAGGCCACACTGGGTGCCAGACCCGATAAGGTGAGGCCTGGTGACAGCAGCGTGAGGGCTCTTCTGGAACTGAGTGCAGTGGGCTCTTTCCCAACTTGGGCATCTCTATCCCTAGCGGCGACCCCTGGAGCGGGGAGACACAGAGCTTGCCCCATCCTTTGAACAGCGGGTACAAGTGATGTTGCAGAGGATCGGTGTAAGCCGAGGCAGTGGGGGTGCTGAAGGCAAGAGGAAGCAAGTGAGTTGTGGGGTGTGTGTGTTTGTGTGTGTGACACGAATGTGAATTGAGGGGGCAAGTGGCATGTGGCAGTCTGTGGGTGATGTGTGACCAGGAGGGAGGAGACTCATGACACATAGATAAGTCTAATCATTATAGTTTCACTCACTCCCCTCAATAGTCATCAGATTCAACCTTTCTTCCCTCCTGGCTTCCGCCCTGGCCCAGACCACTGATACCTCTTTCTTGGAACTGGGAAAGTCTTCTCTCTGCAGATCTAACAAACTTGAACTTGTCACCTGTACTTGAAACAAGTCCTCCAGAGGCCTCCTCTCAAGATATTGTCCAGACTCCTAGACCTGCTTCAAGGCCCTGTGGGGTCTTGGCCCCGGTCACCTTAGACCTCACTGCCCTCCTCCCTTGGGTGCATCTCAGAGCCTCTACACACATTCCTTGGTCTGGGTCTTCTCTCTGCCTTCTTTGTCTCCCATCAGGGGTTATACCAGGTTCCCCCTCTGCCATCCCTGTGGACCTTCCCTGACTCCCTTCCACGGCCAACTTGCTAATATCACTCTTTTTTTTTTTTTTTTAAAAGATGACCGGTAAGGGGATCTTAACCCTTGACTTGGTGTTGTCAGCACCACGCTCACCCAGTGAGCAAACCGGCCATCCCTATATGGGATCCGAACCCGTGGCCTTGGTGTTGTCAGCACCGCACTCTCCCGAGTGAGCCACGGGGCCGGCCCGCTAATATCACTCTCTGATCACAGTCCCTAATAAGAATCAAAGCCTTGATGACACCAAGGTCAAGGGTTCCAATCCTCTTACCAGCCAGCTGCCCCCCCCCCCAAAGGACCACAGCCCTATGTCCCATCCATTTAATAGCTTTTCAGGAAAAACTTACATGAATTGAGACTTGGCCTGAATTTAAAAATATTAAAGTGTGGAAAGTGCATCACAGAATTAAGAAATCACGTTATCTAAGTAAGTGTCTATGAATGTGCATGCATATGCATGTTTCTGTGTGCCAAGTGTCCACTTTCCCAGACTGTGAGCTCAAGGGTAAGCACTGGGTTTGTCATGTTCTTGCTCAACCCATGATGGGCATTCTGTGGCTGGGTTATAAGAACAAGAATGAACAATAGGACAAGGCTAGGATGACAGGGGACAGGGCTGGAGTTTGACTGCCCTGTTTCCCACAGAGCAAAGATGGCGAGATCAAGAAAGCTGGCTCGGATGGTAAGTGGGACCCTGGGTAGGGCAGTATATTTGGGGGTAAGGGGGTGTCCATAGAGATAGTGTCCCCAAGGCACTTGCTCTCCTGGGGGAGGAGGGAGAGAGGCCAGGTTTTTCTTTCACCTCCAAAGTCTGGTGCCTGAGCCCCCAGCCCCACCTTGCAGGTGACATTATGGACAGTTCCACGGAGACCCCTCCCATCTCAATCAAGTCCCGCACCCACTCTGTGTCTGCTGGTGAGTGTGGGCCACTGTGTGTGTTGTGGGTGTGGGGTGGGGTGGGTGTTGGGAAAGGCAGGAGGGGGTCAGACCATTGCTTAGACCCATCTCCAAGGCCTGGCCCAGGTCTTGGCTGACACCCTTCTCCCTGCAGACCCCTCGTGCAGACCTGGCCCAGGGGGCCATGGGCCTGAGTCCACCACCTGGAAGACACTGGGGCAGCAGCTGAATGCAGAGCTCAGGGGCCGTGGTTGGGGCCAACAGGATGGTCCAGGGCCCCCCACCCCTTGTCCCAGCCCAAGAGCCAGCCCCTCCCCAGACAGCCTGGGCCTCCCTGAGGACCCTTGCTTGGGCCCTAGGAATGAAGGTAGGTAGGCACCCTACCCCCACCCCGCTCTTGGGCTGGGGACTGGAGGAATCCCTGCTGGGAACTCAGCTCCTCTAGGGATCCTGAAGGTGGGAGGCAAGGGCTGGAGTGGGGGCAGCTGTTCGGACCATACCCTGACACCCTGGCCTCCCCCAGATGGCCAGCTGAGGCCGCGGCCTCTATCGGCAGGGCGACGAGCAGTGTCTGTGCATGAGGACCAGCTCCAGACCCCTGCTGGTGAGGGGAGACACTTCCATGGGTGCCTGAGTGCAAGAGATGGGGGAGAGTGGGCTCCTGGCTCCCTTGGTGGTGGCTCTGGTCCTTGGAGAGGGCCACCAGTGGTATGAGGGCTCAGAAAACCAGGGAGCTAGAAGGCCAGGTGCAAGAGTTTGATAACAAGCCCTGGCTCCACCTCCTGAAGAGTAACCTCTGCCAGGGGTGGGAGGATGCAGGGGATGGGAGAAGTTCTGAAGGCCACAGTGTATGTGCACACTTGTTTGGGTACACTGGAGGTGGGGGAGAGGGGTTGGGGATGGACAGTCAGCCATCCCTTAGCAACCCTCCCTAATCCTTTTTATGTTCTGTAGAACGGCCCCTGCGGCTGCAGCGCTCTCCTGTCCTCAAGCGTAGGCCGAAGCTTGAGGCACCCCTGTCTCCAAGCCTAGGTAAGAGGGGGCTGGGGCCAGCTAGGAGGATGGCAGGACTGCTCAGCCCAGACCACCCTGACCCTTCTCTCCCTCTTTCCCCTCACAGGATCTGGCCTTGGGACCGAGCCTCTGCCCCCACAGCCCACAGATCCCTCCAGCCCTGAGCAGAGCCCACCCTCCCCAGCCACAGACCAAAGAGGCGGCGGCCCCAACCCCTGATCCTCTCCTCTCCTGCTGCATGAGATTATTTTATTAAAAAACTCAAAGAAATTAGAGTATGGAGCACTGTTTGTCCACCCCCGGGCTTGGGCCTGTGTACACATATCCTCCAATGTGCCCGCATGACCCCTCACACCTGAGTTAGTTCAGACTCCGGCTGTGGCTCCATCAGAAAGTGCAAGGCCCAGGCCACGAGCTGGGGAGGGAGCCTGGGAAGAAACCATGCTGCAGGTCAATGTAGCTCAGGACTGGTGACCAGCAGAGTGGGGGCAGCCCCAAGCACTCACCTGGCAGCTTGGACCTGGGCACAGAGCGAGGTGCACGGTGGCTTGTATTCATATTGGAAGGTGGAACCATCACGATGTCTCTTTGGGGTGTCCTGAAAGGGGCGTGGTGTCTGGGGAGGGTCCAACAAGGACTGCTAATCTCATTCAAGGCTACCCCAACCCATCTCCCAGCCATACTCAAGGATGTCCCCATTCTGCCTTCCAGTTTGTAGAGGGGCTATGCTCACCCAGACAGGGCAGGACTCCTGAGCTCCCTTGGTGGCTCTAGTCCTTGGAGAAGGCTGCAGGTTCTTGGTAGGCAAGCCTAGCTCTTTGAACTCCAGACTAGGTTTGTGGGTGCTGGTCATATGGGCCTGGTGTGGATTGGGGACATGGCCAAGTGGCAAGAGACTGGGGCTGCAGCTTGGAAGTGAGGAGTTGGATGAATGGCTGGGGTGTGGGGAGCTGAGGGGCAGGGGTCCAGGGGCTGAACAGATGGCTGGTAGGGCCTGGGAGCTGCCCCTCTGCACTGGGTCTGGAGCAGCCAAGGACAGAGCAGGCAGAAGGCTGATGCTGGCACCGCTTTCCTCTGATGGCATATGGCTGGGTAAGGCAGGGGTTCCTGGGGAGGAAGGGATTCAGTGTGGGCACAGCCCTCTCAGCTTAGACCAGCTGAGTGGTCTGTGAGCTCAGGAGGGCCTGCAGGGACTGTGTTCAGCCCCCACCTGCTATTCACCCTTTTACACAGCATCCTGTGCAGCCCAGTATCCACACTATTGAGAGACAGCAGTGAGTGCTTATGGCCTGAGCACCATCTTACCTGAGGAACTGGGTGAGGAAGAAGGAGAGGAGATCAGGGTCGGAGAGATATCCTGCAGAGCCGGGTCTGGTGCAGGCAGCTCAGGGCCTGGAGGTTCAGGGGAGGTTTATCGGCATTCTGGGCCCTGGGCCCCAGGTATTTCCACCTTAACCTCTCCAGTCCCCCTTACTTTGTGCCCTCTGACCTCGGCCCAGAGAGCTCAGAATTTGCTGGTCATTCTTAGAGATATGCAGCATTATGCTGGGGACAGTATATCCAGCTTCTCCCTGTGGGATGTGAACTCTCAGTCTGGCCCTTGCCCAACTTCTCACCCTGACACCTCCAAGGGAAGCTCCAAACTGACCGTGGCCCTGCAGCGTGAGGCAGCCCAGCGGGTGAGAGGGGGTGTTGTGCAAGGGCCTGCCAGCATCAGGCAGCTCTCAGCCAGGTGCACTAGCGCCCCCTGATGTTCCTGGTCCTCCTTCACCTCATCCAGAAGCTGGGACAGTGATAGGCCTGGGGGCAGGCCACCAGAGGATAGACTGAGGCTCAAAGAGAAGGGATGGTAGGGTAGGAGGGATGAGGGCTTAAGGCCTGAGAGATCACTCCACAGGGAGTTAGGGTCACCCCCTACCAGTACCTGCATTGGGGGAGGTGGACTCTGAAAGGTGCTCCCTACAGGAAAGAGTGGACAGGCCTCAGGATTGTAGACAATCCTGAGACCTGTCTACCCAGATTTGCCATCCCCTGACCAGACCACACTGGGCCCCAGAACCCAATCCCAGACTCACTCAAGGTAGTCATAGAGTTTTTTCTGCACTTCCAGGTCCTGGTTGCTGGGAAAAAGAGGAGGGTGGTAGGTAATGTTACTGGGGGCCCAAGCCTTCCCACCCAGAAAGCCTATACCAATGCCAGCCAGGCCTGGGTGGGGAAAGTTGTTGGACAGTGGAGGCATAACTTACCAACCAGGTACCCGGACGCGGGACTGCTCACTGGGCAGCAGGCTGAAGCGGTCCACCTGGAGATAGAATTCTGCGGGCTGGAAGAGTTCAGGGGCGGGTCTCAGGAGTTGTCACGAAGAGCCAGGTCCAGTAATCCTCCCAAGCCAGCCTTACCACTCACCGCGCCACCCTCGGCGACATGGATGTGGACCCCGCAGTCCTGCAGCAGTAGCAACCGGCCCTCTGCCCCGCGGAAGCCGAATTCCTTCTCCTCCCTAAAGCGAGCGCGACCTTCACTGCCCAGCCCCGCAAGAACACAAGCCTCGCCCCCTCCTCTCCAGGGCCCGCCCACCTCGGGCTCTCTGGCTGGACTCCGGCCTCTCGAGCCCCTGGCACTTCTCTCACCAGGCCGAGGTGTCCAGGGCTTCCCGCGTCACGAAGCATCGGATACTGTAGGTCCCGTCGGACACAAGCAGCATGGCCCCGACATCAGGTGCGTCAGGGGCGTGGGATGGGCCCGGGGCCTTGGCCTCCTGAAGTACCTGACGACGGCAACCGGCATCAATCCCACCGCGCTGGGCCCCCGCCCCGGTCTCCAGGCCCTGTGAGGGGGCTCACCTCGAGCAGCTGCCCGACCCGTGGACTTGAGAGAGCATCTGACCCCAGAATCAGCTCTCGAATCCAGGGCCGCAGGACCAGGCTCCCCGGGCCTGCCATTCCCGCGCTGTACCTAGCCGAACACTGCAGGCCTGGATTTCCCGCGGACGCCGCCGCCCCACCTCTGGTCGGAAGAGGAAGCGCGTGACAGTTGGGCGGAACCTGAGGCCAAGGCCCCGCCCACAGGCGCGCCCGCGCGTGCGCACGAGGGTGTCCAGTTCGGGAACTTGTATACAGACTCCTGCTCGGTCAGCAGGATAGCGGCCCGTTTACTCTTTTTTTTTTTTTTTTTGTCTTTTTCTGTGTCCGGCAACGGATCGCAACCCTCAGTGTCGCCCCCGTACCGGACCGTCCCGGCAACGGGATCGCAACCCTCGGTGTTGCTCCCGCGCCTCGCTCAGCCAGTGAGCGGGAACAGGTCTGTATGTGGGATCCGAACCCTCGCGGGAGCGCCGCCGCGCTTCTCAAGCGGCGCACTATAGCAGTGCGCCACCGGGCCGGCCCCAACGGCCCGTTTACTCTTATCGGGGCATTTCTCCGAGCAGCGGCCCGGCGTTTGACCGTTGGTAAAGACTCCTATAATACCTGAAAGGAAAGAACCAAGGGCTGACCCGGATGGAGAGGAATCCGGGGCCGCAGGCTCTTGTGAGGGTGGTCCGAGCAGGTTGGCGCGATGCCACTTCAGCCCCGTGTGATCCCCGAGGGGTTCAGCAAATTTTATTATGACTCAGTTTCTTTATCTACAAAATGCGCAGTCTTGTAAGCCCAGTGGAAATAACAAGTACACAGCCCTCGATAAATGTCACTTCCCTCACTCTCCCCTCGGATTGGCCGAGCCCCCTCCCTCGGCTCCCGGGACGCGCGGACCTAGCGTAATGACGTCAAAACAGAGGACGACTCTTCACCCACACCTCCGTTTCCTAGGAAACATGGACTCCGCGTTCCACTCTCCATCACCGCCCCCTTGACGTCATGGTCCGGATGGTAGGGCGGGGCGAGTGCTACAGCCAGGGGCGGGGAGGCGCGGGCGTGCCGGCCGGACTGTGCACCTGCGCTTCGGCGGGCCGCTTGGGGCACCGTCCCCGGCCCGCCCAGCCCCGCCCTGGCCAGGCATTAAATTATTACCATTATTGTTATTATTATTATTCATTCCAAAAAGTGCTCTTTCAGTCTCCTTCCCTTTTGTCATTGGCGTGTTGATATCATAATGGTAGAAACATAATTTTTTTCTCCACATACAGAAATAATCATTATTTATTCTGGGCAAATAAAAAAGTAAACGACTATTGTCAAGCCTGCACTTGACTGTCACCAGGCATATATTATACAAGACTTTTTTTTTTTTTTAAAGATGGGGCTTCCCTTGCCTTAAACACCTTTATTCTCTCACCCCTCGTAATAACTTCGTATAGCATACATTATACGAAGTTATACGAGGGCGGGGAGGCGCGGGCGTGCCGGCCGGACTGTGCACCTGCGCTTCGGCGGGCCGCTTGGGGCACCGTCCCCGGCCCGCCCAGCCCCGCCATGGCCAGGCAGCAGAGGACTCCGGCGCGCAGTCCCGATAGCATCGTCGAGGTGAAAAGCAAAGTAAGGGCACCTCCGGCCCCGGCCTCGGCCTTAGGCACTCCCAATTCCCTCTTTCTCCCTTCCCGGCTCCTTGGTCCCCATCATCTCTTTCTCTCCTCCATCTTCCGCTTCCCATTCTGCTTTTCTGCTCGCCTTCCCCTATCCATCTTCCTTCCTTCTACTGCTAGCTTCCAGAGTCCCTCTGTGCCCTGGGTACCTGGAGGGCGGGGAAAAGACCTTGGACAGCGTCCCTTGCACTGGAGCTGAGGTCTGGGCTTAAGGCTGTAGCTTTTGCGGCAGCCCTTTCTTTCCTATCCCTACCAGCCTCGGACCTGTGGTGAGAAAGGGGCGCAGGCTCCGCCCTGACCTTTTTTTATCCCCCCACCCCCGGTCTCCAGTTTGACGCTGAGTTCCGACGTTTCGCACTGCCCCGCGCTTCGGTGAGCGGCTTCCAGGAGTTCTCGCGGTTGCTGCGTGCGGTGCACCAGATTCCAGGCCTGGACGTGCTGCTTGGCTATACGGATGCTCACGGCGACCTGCTGCCCCTCACCAACGACGATAGCCTGCACCGGGCCCTGACCAGCGGGCCTCCGCCACTGCGCCTACTGGTGCAGAAGCGGGGTGAGGAGGATGGGGTACAGTGGGCAGCCTCTGTGGGGTAAGGTGATGGGGCAGGTCTACAAGGGTTAGTCCATGCCCAGGGCGTCCAGGCTTCACCCTCTGCAGTCCCTGACCTTCTCCTGACCTCTAAGTGGTAGGAAATACAGTGCCCCCTGTAAAGGGCCCAAGTGGGAGAGCAGGGTCTCTGATCTCAGCACCACCCCCCCTCTCCTGCAGCAGAAGCTGACTCCAGCGGCCTGGCTTTTGCCTCCAACTCTCTGCAACGGCGCAAGAAAGGGCTCCTGCTGCGGCCAGTGGCACCCCTGCGCACCCGGCCACCCCTGTTTATCAGCCTGCCCCAAGACTTCCGCCAGGTGTCCTCAGTCATAGATGTGGACCTACTGCCTGAGACCCACCGACGGGTCCGTCTGCACAAGCACGGTTCAGACCGCCCCCTGGGCTTCTACATCCGAGATGGCATGAGTGTGCGCGTGGCTCCCCAGGGCCTGGAGAGGGTTCCAGGCATTTTCATTTCCCGCCTGGTGCGTGGAGGCCTGGCTGAGAGTACAGGGCTGCTGGCGGTCAGTGATGAGATCCTCGAGGTCAATGGCATCGAGGTGGCTGGGAAGACTTTGGACCAAGTGACAGACATGATGGTTGCCAACAGCCATAACCTCATCGTCACTGTCAAGCCCGCCAACCAGCGCAATAATGTGGTGCGTGGGGTGTCTGGGCATCTGACAGGGCCTCCCTCTGCAGGGCCTGGGACTGCTGAGCCTGATAGCGATGAAGACAGCAGTGACCTGGTCATTGAGAACCGCCAGCCTTCCTGTTCTAATGGGCTGTCCCAGGGGCCTCCATGCTGGGACCTACACCCTGGCTGCCTACTTTCTGCTGCCCGCACCTCTCTGCCCTCCCTGGATAACCAGGAGCAGGCCAGCTCTGGCTGGGGGAGTAGCATCCGAGGAGATGGTAGTGGCTTCAGCCTCTGACAGGCAAGGATGCAGCCCCTTACCACTCTAGGGACATGGCAAGGACTTCCCAGTGGCGGTTTCAGCTTGCTCACAGGGCCCTCTCAGCCTGGGGAACATTAAAGGTTTTCTACAGATGCAGTCATGGTCCTTCTGTGTCCCAGCCCCAGCCTTCTCCCTGATCTCACAGCTTGCCTTGTGCCCTGAACAAAACAGGAATAATAAGGGCAGCAGGAGAGCTTCCTGCAGTCAAGCAGCAGGAGGGCCACCGGGCTTGGCATTTCTAGGGTAAGAAAACCTCTTATGAAAACAAACTCCACTGTGTACAATAGGTTTAATTTTGATAAAGGGGTTAAAAGGCTGGGATGGCATTTCTGCAGCACCTGGTGGCTGGGAAGAATGCTCTAGGGATACTGCCCACCTCACAACTCCTATCTTTAGACCTCCAATTAAAGATGGGGCCTGACCCTGCCCTTTGCAGCCATGTGGCGATCCTCAGCATGGACCTCCCTGCCCTACCCCCACAAAGGGGCTCAGGCATCCATCTTCACGAAGACTTTGGGTCGGGAAAAGATCTTGATGGCCTCTTCTACCTGTACCAGCTTCCGGTCCAGCTCAGCACGGTGGCCCTGGGCTCTTAGTGAGTCTGCCCCAGCAGGCAGCAGCACCAGCTCACGGAGCAGCTGGCTCTGGCCTATAGGGGGACCAGGAACAGTGATTGCTGAGCAGGGGTGCATGGTCCCCAGTGGGCTCCCCATCCAGACTCCCTTACCCAAGTACTCACTCTGGAGCAGATTGCTCAGTGTCTCCAGCCGCTGGTCCTCAGGCATGCAAGTGTGGCCAGGGGGCACGGCAGGATCTGGCTGGCTATGCTGGCGGGCCTCAGCCTCCCGCCGCCACAGATCCCTGCGCTCCAACAAGCTGTGGATGCACAGGCTCAGGGTTGATGACCCTGGGCAGCGATTGCTCCCACCCTCCACAGACATCCCTCACCCTGGATGATGAACAATAAGACCTACTAATGGGGCACATGTCCCTTCTGTGTGGCATTGTAGTGCTCCTGGGCTTGCCGTTGCTGCTCCAGCACCTGTGCCAGGACCTGCAGTGAGCGAGAATGCCGCCGGGGCGCCCTCTTGGCAGCTTGGGCATTGTGACTAATGAAGTCCACACCTAGGCCTGGCGCCTGCAAGACATGGCAAGCATGATAGGGGCAGACAGCACTGTGTTGTGCCCCTGCACTCCCTCCCAGGATCCCTTTCCAACCACCTTCCAGTCCCACACATCCTCTCACCTTAGCTTTGGGACCTGGTGGGGTCAGTTGGGGACTAGGGACACGGGGCGGAGGGAGCCCAGGGCCACAGCGGGAGTGCGCCCGCAGGAAGTGGGCAGGCTCTGTCCCAGAGGCAGGACCACGTTCCTGGAAGGCAGGGCATAGCAGAAGGATCAGTCAGGCTGAAGTCAGGGTCTCAAGCCACAAAACCATGCCTCTGTCCCTCCAGCTCCTCAGGACCATTCTGTCACCATCTCTATGGGCCTCCTCTCTCTTAAAGGAGCACTTCTCATCAACATTTAAATATGTGTGAGTCTTTCACTCTTTAAGAAAATGACAAACAAAAGAAAACGACAAACCACCTCTCCTACCTCAGTCCTGGTCTAGCTACCACTCTCTTCTTCCTAGCCAAGCTTCCTGGCTCTAGACCCCCCAAGGTCACTGTTGGCTAGCCTCCAAGCCCCCAAACCCAGGGGGTCACTTCCTTGGTCTCATTGTGCTCAACCTGATCATCAATAATTTCTGGGTCTCACTCCTGAGATCCAGACCTGAATATCCATCTGCTTCCTGGACATACTCTCACCCCCTGGGAGTCCCACAAATGCTTCTGCCTCAACATGTCCATGTGTGACCTTGTCTTTTCTCTCAATCCTGTTCCTCCTTCTGAGTCCATGGATAGAAGAATGGTGCCACTATATACCCAAGACAGAACCCCACTACCATACCCCTGCCCCTGCCCTTCCCACTGTTCTCAGAAATAAAGGTTGAAAAGTGGCTTATGTCGCTCCTTATGATGTGGGTCCAGCTGACTTCTTGACCTAACCTCGTACTTTTCTTCCCTCACAGTGAACTGTCCCTAGTAGCATCCCCACTGTCCACATCCCCTCTGGTCTTGGGACATCTACCTGTGAGGTTCCCTCTCTGGAATGTTCTCTTCCACTCTCCCCTTGCCTAATTCCTATTTATCTACCAGGATCAGCCCAGCCATCACCACTTCTGAGAAGGCCCCTAATCCCACCCTGCAGCAGAGCCAGGTGTCCCTCAATCCTCTGTTACCTACTTCCCCTATGATTTTCCTCCCTCCCCATAACTCAGATTAGAGTTGGCCAACAAGATGGACAATACTTCTGGCTCCTTGAGGCAGATACCTGCAACTGGGCCTTGACCCGGGACTGCACCTTGTCATATTTGGGTGAGCGCCACAGAGCCTTCAGGGGCCTGGGTTGGCCCTGTTCCTGGCGGCCGTGCTCCTGCTCTTGGAAGCGCCTCTGGATCTCCCTGATCCGCCTCAGGTTCTCCTTCTCATGGTCTTTAGGGTTCTTCCCTGAGGAAAAGATGCTGCCACGCTTTGCCCTACATATGGCCCATGCAATCAAACTTACACTAGTTCACACACAGGCCCACACCCTGCCCTCCACAGGAAGGTCTCCCTGACCTCTCCGTCTAAGTTAGACCCTACACATACTCTACCTCATTACCTTGTTCTCTTCCTTACATAGTAAATATCTGATTATTTTCTACATTTCTATAGTGAAGTATACCATCAATCATCTCGTATATTATATTCATCTCTTCCTTTGTTTATTGTCTCCCACCTTGACTCGATGAAGGTCTATGCTTGCCTTCAAGCATTTTCCTAGCACCTGTACGGCCTGGCACACAGTAGGCACTCCATAAACAACGTTACACTGATGCATGAATGCATGAAGCTTGAGCTAGGGTTTCGTGGGGACTACCTCATTCAGTCGCCTCCTGCCAGGAGGTAGTGCATTCCCCTCTCCTTTTATGGATGGGGAAACTGAGACTCAGAGGGGCAAAGTCTGAGCCCAGATCCGGGAAGGAGGAGTAGCCGCTGTTGATTTCAGCCTTTGGCCTCCGTCTGCCTCGCTGCCCCTTCTTCCCAGCACTTACTCTTGGGAGAGGCCCCTGGACCTAGGGAGATCCCTTCGAGTTGCAGCAATACGCCCCCCACGCCACGCCAGCCACGCTCCAGTATCTCTCTGGCTCCAGAACTGATGCAGGGGCCACGGGAAGCAGTGGCATCTAGGTCCCGGTCCGAGGTCAGCAGGTCCAGCTTCAGCGCGTTTCCCTCAAGGCGCCCTTGGGCTGAAGGGCGGGACGGGGAGGAGTGTGGGGCTCAGTGGTGGAGTGGGGGCGGACCCTCAGGCTTAGTCCCCCGCAGCACCCGCAACCCACCTGAGGCCGGCCGCCGGTAGTAGTCAGGACACAGAGTAGGGTCTGGGGGGATGGGCCCGGAGATGCGGGACGGGCCCTCGCACATGCCGCCGTCACCGCGCTGCAACGGTGCACGGAGGCCCGCTGGGCTGCGCATTCCTGCCCGAACCCTCTTCCCCAGCCTCGCGCCTCCTACCTCGACCCGGACACTGACCCTACCCTCCACTCCCCGCC